AGCAGCTAATGCAGTGCCATAATAAGAGAATTACCTTCTCTCTCTCTCCCTTCTCCTCCTTCCAGCTCCTCCACAGCCATACCCCTTCATCCTTCCTCAAGAAGTTTAAAAAAATGATTCTATTTTTGCTTCTGCCTTTTGTCATCTCGCTTCCCTTTCTCATATCTCATTTCTCTCTCTCTTTCCCCCTCTTCTCTCTCTCTCTCTCTCTCTCTCTCTCTCTCTCTCTCTCTCCCTTCTTCTCTCTCTTTCATTCTTTCTCAGAAGCGGCGGGTCGATTAATTAATAGCTGGCTAATTTAATTTCCCAAAAAGTAATAACTGGTTTAAGCATGAATAAAGACTGACAAGGCAAAGTTCTAATCTGCCCAAAGTTTAATTAGTCTCAGCGAGGTTTATACACCAGCAGACGGAGGTCAGGGTCGGGGGGGACACGTCCGAATGGAGCGAGGGATTGGGGCATGTACGAACAGAGCAAGAGATGGAGAGGTGGCCAAATAGACCAAGGGATTGGGGCATGTCCAAACAGAGTGAGGGATTGGGGCGTGTCCAAACAGAGTGAGCTACTGGGGGCGTTTCCAAACTGAGCAAGCGATTGGGATGAGTTCAACTAGAGCCAGGGATTGGGGTGTATCTAAACAGGGCGAGGGATTGGGGTGTGTCTAAACAGAGTGAGGGACTGGGGTGTGTCTAAACAAAGTGAGGGATTGGGGCGTGTCCAAACAGAACAGTGGATTAGGGTGTATCTAAACAGGGCGAAGGCTTGGGGTGTGTCTAAACAGAGTGAGGGGTTGGGGTGTGTCTAATCAGAGTGAGGGATTGGAAGTCTCTAAACAGAGTAAAGATTGGAGCGTTTCCAAACAGAGTGAGGGATTTGGGCGTGTCCAAACAGAACAGTGGATTAGGGTGTGTCTAAACAGAGCGAGGGATTGGGGTGTGTCCAAACAGAGTGAGGGAATGGTGAGTGTCCAAACAGAGCAAGGGATGAAGCAGTGTCCAAAGAAAGTGAAGAACTGGGGTGTGTCCAAATAGAGCAAGAAATTGGGGTATGTCCACATAGAGTGAGGGATTCGGGTGTGTCTTAACAGAGCGAGGAATTTGGGTGTGTCTAAACAGAACAAGACATTTTGGCGTGTCCAAACAGAGCAAGGGATTGGGGTGTGTCCAAACAGATTGAGGGATTGGGGCATGTCCAAACAGAGTGAGGGACTGGGGAGTGTCCAAACAGAGCAAGGGATGAAGAAGTGTTCAAAGAAAGTGAAGAACTGGGGTGTGTCCAAAAGGTGTGCTGGGGTGGGAGTGAGGGTGTGTCCAAATAAATTACTTGTAAAAGTGATTCACTGAAAATAAATCAAGAGGAAAATAAATAGTTGGGAATTAATTGTTTAAAGTCACTGTAAATTAGTAGCCGCAGACTAACAGTTTAAATAAATCCCTGAAAATGAATTGTTTGTGTCACCCGACTTCTGAATCAGTTCAATACATTGAGTTACTTCTTTTGTGGCACACCCCCTCCCGTCCCGCTCCCCGCCACCCCTCCTGCTGTGAGTGTTGGTTGTGCCTGTCTCTGCCTGTCTGACCGTGTCCACCGCTGCTGGACCGCTCGCTCACTCCGGGGACGCTGGGATAGCGGCTAACTGTCAGAATCGGACGGCTTTACCTGCCACTGTCCTCCACACCTGTCACCCACGGCAACCCCACAGCTCCGCCTCAGCCGCAAATCAACCGCCTCACACTATTATGGGATTCAGTGAAGTGGCAGCATATATTACACACACACACACACACACACTCACCTCCTACACAACTCACACACTCACTCACACCTCACACACACACAAATACACACACACACACACACTCACTCACACACACAAATACACACACCTCATCCACTCACCTTAAACACACACATACATACACACACACACTTCCCACACACACACACACAAATACACACACACACACACACACACACACTCACTCACACACACAAATACACACACCTCATCCACTCACCTTAAACACACACACACACACATACACAAACAAACCTCACACACACATGCACAAACACACATTCACACACACACACACACACACATGCAAACACACACACACACACTCCACTACAGACCTCAAACACTCTCATTCATTAAAAATGAGAGAAAAAAGACAGATAGGGAGAGAAAGACTGTAGGAGAGAAAGAGAACGAGAGAGAGAGAGAGAGAGAGAGAGAGAGAGAGAGAGAGAGAAAGGTGTACTGAATGTTTAGCCCAATTGGTGTAACGCCTCATTTACCTGAACTTCTTTTCATTATCAGAATGTCATTTCTGTTTAAACTGCTGATGTATTTCAGATATTTTGTTTGTTGCTTTTCTAACAATTCTCACGATTTAAAGCAGAGCTGGACTTTTTTAAACAGTGCAGAATACGTGAGTAAATGTGAGCTTGTACATAACTTTGTGTTGTGTGTTAATAGATTAGTAATGAGTGTGTGTGTGTGTGTGTGTGTGTGTGTGTTGGAGACATGTAGAGAAATCATCCTCTCTATCAGACAGATTCAGAGTCAGGCCTGTAGTGATGCTCAGCCGTCTGCGCTCTCCTCGCAGTAGAGCTGGCTGCTCCTCATCAGATGGTCATTTTAGGTTTTCTTGTGTCTGTGATCTGAAAGCTTGTTTACACACTATTAATCCACTCAATCAAATAATTACATTGTTAGCCAACCTGCAGAGATTTCCTCTTTAACCTTGTTTTCCTCGCTGCTCACTGTCTGCGTTTGAGTATAATTGATTATTATCATTTTCTTCTGCTACACTGACAAGGTACATTTAATTAGAGCAGGTTATTTTTGGAGGAATATGTCATTATTTATATTAGAGCAGATCAGGAGTGTCTCGCCGACTAGAAAAGCGGAGTAAAAAATACAGGTGATTACAGTTTAAACACAGAGGAGATGCCAAGGAGGAAGAGGTGATGTCCAAAAATATGGTTTACTGTCAGTTGTCAGTTGTTTATCCTTTATTTGTCACACGAAGACAATTTTATGTTAGCACTCGACCGCAGTTACCCCTGCAAGTTTACTGCTTCTTTGCTATATTATTTAAAAGTAATTATGTCATTATTTGCATACTTATATGATGAATTACATTTATATTTTGTTTGCATTCTGTATAGTCAGCGTTGAGTCTGCACATCTTTCCATTTGTTTAGTTGTTGACATGCGATGAAAACTTGGCAAAAATGTAAAGCGTGTGTTTATATATATATATATATATATATATATATATGTAAGATTACAGCATCCTTTTTTATTTGCTGATGTCACTTTGTAACTTTACACTTTACATCTGCTAATGTAACATGATAAACGTTTAATTTAGTAGAAAAAAGCTACTAAATCATGTAACAGAAAATGATTTGCTTTCAGATCTAATAATCTAATAATTAGTCATTTACTTTGAATAGTATAAATTTACTCATTAATTGAAGTTTGTTAAGAATGGTTTAGTTCTTTGATATTTATAAAAATACAAAACTTAAAATATTAAGTGCAAAAAAGCATTGCATAATAATCATCATTGCACATTATGAATAAATCATTAAGCTGTTATGTACTACCTTTCTACTTTCTCATGTAGAAACCTTTACTCAGTGCTTAGTTAATCATTACTACGTGGTCAGCACATGCTTTTTTAACATTAATAGTCATTAACTCAGCTCCTAATGTAAAGTTTTTAGTGTTTTATAAAGATCACAGTACTGATCACACTTAAATATGATAAATTAATGAAAAGCATTTACAGTGCTTAATTATTCACATCACTAAATGATAAAATATTAATAGCTGAAGCAGCCACAGTAATTAATGTATGAGTAACAATTCTTTAACAAACTATTAACACCTGAGTGAAGTATATAAACTGCTACCATCAACATGAGAAATCTAACTAGTTAATGTTAGTTGTTCGCTGAATTAATCTACAAGTTCTGCCCTAAGTTACACCAAGACTGGCCAGGATTGCCTGACGTTCACTCCACCCTGACAAAAAAAAAAATAGAGAGGTAGAAGGCTAGTTTGACTGCAGCTTCAGTTACTTTAATAACAGCAGCACTTCATTAGCGCTGACCATAACCATGAGGTTCACTGTTAAAATGAAAGTCAGCCCAATTTAAAGTTATAAAGTAACTGATTATACAGCTTTGCCTGAGTTAACTTCAGAACACCAACATAAACTTCTTCCTTTAATCAAAGCCTCATTTTTTAGTTCTGCATCTGTCACATAAACAATATGGAATATACAATGTAAATGATTATTGTGTTTTAACTTAAAAAAGTAACAATCCTGGTTGCCTTAAAATTTTGATTTCTTTAAACTTCTAATATTGTTTTAAATTCTGTTAACTTGTTATTGGAAATTCAGTGAACTCGAAATTTTAAGGCAGCTATTTTTTTTTTTTTAAACTCAGTTACTAGAACTCTTTCTATCAGACGCTCCCACCTAAGGACAGCTCTGGTGTCACTAGGATTCAAACTGACAACCTTCTGATGTCCGGGTGAATGCTTAGTCCATTGCACCACGTAACCGGCTACTTCTTAAAACTTTAATACACTCTAAAAACATATTTGCTGTGAAAATGAATGTAGTAGCATGTAATGCAGTGGTCTAAAAATTCAGTCCAGCATGAAGAGGTGGTGAATTTGAACCCCAGTGATGTCATATCCATCCATAGCAGGAAACCCAAGAGGAGAAAATTCAAAGTGAAACTGGGTGGAAAAACAAATTCTGTGTTGTTTAATTATCTAACAAATTAGATTTAGGAGAACTTTTGACTAGACTAAGAAGTTTAAGTGTCCTCAAGTTGAGTTAACTCAAAAAAAGCTGTGTAATCAGTTACTTCATCATTTTACGTTGAATTGACTTTGTTGAAAATGATGTTTTGCTAATTTTGTAATCATTTCTCTCTCTCTCTCTCTCTCTCTCTTTTTGTGCTTGCAGATTTAAGGTCCCTGCCGGACGTTGCTATGACAGGAAACTGTACGCGTGAGTGCACTGAGTTCGGCCACTCCGATTCCTGCTGGATGCCCGGCCAGCCCTCACCGAACCGCAACAAAACCGCAACCAAGGGCGGCCCTAAACTGTCCACATTCGTGCCTTACCCGGAGAGGGAGTCGCAGGACCAGCTGATGGCCAACGGCAGCCCCAAGCCCATCGGGGAGGAGCACGGAGGGGGAAACAAGATGGCCGCCATCCGCTTCCTGCCTCCGTACACCAGTGCCTACTCTGCGGGCGGCGAGGTGGGCAAAGACTGCCCCCTAGAGGAGATCCCGCTGAGCCAGACGGCAGATTACGCGTCGGCCACCACTCCGTCCAGCCAGGGCTCCAAGAGAGAGATCTACCTGTGAAGCTCCCGCTTAACGTGGGTCGCCCTCACCTGAGATAACCTAACGCTACAGGTGCGCTCGTCACCCACAATTCACTCTGCCTATAGGAGGAAGATTCCGAATCGCCTCCAAAATCACCTCCACCACCCGACCCCTCGTAATCGGCCTCCTCCTTCACGTCTGTGGATGAAGAATCGGAATCCTGCTTCCGTGTTTTGTATGTAGAAAGCCTGACCAATCACGCGAGTGCGAGTTTGTGTTTGTGAATACTGAATGAAGGATACTCACTTTTCAATCAAACTTCTGCCGAAAGAATGTAATTACAGTTTTTAAATCCGACTTTGTGATAATTTAACGTAAGCTGTATAGGTAAAGGTTCCTACTTGAGTTTGTTTTTGTTTTTTTTTCCTTCGTTACTTTTTTAGACTATTTCGGTTGAACTGAGGACAAGCTTAGTTTAAAATATGTACACTGACCTGTATGTATACACACATACACATCCTGTAACGGACTGTTCTGTAGGGGGCGCTGTGCTTTATATTTTGTGTAGCTGCTGGATCAACGTCAAAAACAAACCATATGGCAATTGCGTAAGCACTGAAAGTGTTTCCAGCAGCAGACTTTTCACTTGGGGAAGTTTTCCCTTCAATGTACAGTGATGTAAATATGATGAGTGGCCAGCCTGGGGGGACATTAGCATTAGCGCAGGCTGGACTAATCACAGTAGAAAAGAAGAAGAAGAAGAAGAAGAAGAAGAAGAAGAAGAAGAAGACCACCACCATAACCCTCAAGCATCACCCAAACACTCGGGATTTGGATTAAAACCAAAACACTGGGGGAAAACAAATGGAAAACAGCAGGTCAGTCTAATGCGATTTGTCAGATTTGAAAAGTTGCCACAGCTCCCATGCGTGGATTTCAGCAGGACCTCCATGGAGAGCAGGTGGCTCCATCAGACACTTTTCCACCGTCTCTCACGTGTCATTGCTGTGATCTTTAGAGGGGGGCCACGGATCTAAACGTGCGTTTTCACCAGTACCTTCGCGTACGAGGCATTTCGAATCCTGACTTTAAGAACACTTTGATGGACCTCTCTGTCCACGTCGCACTACCTGTTCCTCAGCCGCTTTTGTGTGTGGATGGATGCTTCAGAGACTTGTTGTACATGAATGGATGGATGGATGGATGGTGGGTCAAACCCAGTCAGATACACAAAACAACAGCAGTGATGAACTGTGTTCATTCCATTCAATTAATCAAACTAGTCAGACGGTCTGTACAGTTTAGAACATTAAGTCTGGAAAAGTAAGAGCTAGCTTTGAGGCTAATGTTGTAGGATTAGCATTCTTGGGTCTAAAATGTTAGCTGTTTCATTACTGACCATCTCTGTTTCATTTTCAAGAGAAGGTTTTTCAAGAATTTCTTTTACAAACCCCCTAAACTTATTGGGAATCCTTATCCTAAGGCTTGTTATTCATGGAAAACGATGCTAAAGTATTGGCTATTATGGAATTATTTAAACTTGGAATGGAGGGTTGGTCCTGCTGGTAGATCTGGGAATATTAAAGGGTTAAAAGTTGTTATTAATAATGTGTGACAGTAATGGAAATAGCACCTGTGGTAATGCTGGTGAACAGAAGTTGTAATCAGTGGGAAAACAGAGGAATATGCCACACACAGTCTGCCATAAGTGACCTCAGCGTGCACACTGTTCTTCTCCAACGTCCACCACGGGAACAGACTGACTGGTGTCCTTTGGATGGTGGAAGAAAGTGAAAACAAACTGGCTGGCTTTATGTACTGAAACTTTCATGCAGTCACTTGAAGGTAAATAGTAAATGTCTTAACCTGTTAAACTTCCAGGCTTATTGATGGACTACAATACAAGCTAGCTGAGTTACTATTCAGCTAGACCACTGAGGAATGGAAAGCTGGATTTGCTAGCATATTATGTGAAACAGCCAATCAGAATGTTGAAAAAGTACCATATGATGACATCAAACAATGTAATTCTGGCCTAAATTTATGCTGGAAGACTGTTAGCTTAGCTATCTCACTGGATACCAGCAAATAATCAATATTATTAACTAGCCAACATGCATTCATCAGCATATGCCAGTCTGCTGCTTCAATTTACTGCTCACATTGTGATCTATGTAGCTAAGTTATTCCTTTTTTCCTCTCTTAACACCCACTTACATCATACCACCACGTCAGCTGTTCTTGCCGTTTCAGATGTTTCAGCTCGTAACCCTGCGTGAAAGTTTCTCCGTGTAAAGCCGGGCTGAGTGAAGCTCACGCCTTTCTTCTTTCTCTGCTCCTCTGGCTGAAAGGGAATAAACGCCGGAGCCCCTTGTGTCCCCGCCGTCACGACACGCGTACGAGTTCATTTAGTTCATGTCAGAATCCCTGTTTGATCATTTAAAGATCAAACACTAGACTGTCTAATGCAGTCGCTCGGATCGTGCTGAGGTCCAGCTAGAGCAAACAAACCATTTCTCTCAGTGACAGAACCAGCGGTCAGATAGTAGCCTCTCAACCTCTGGACTGGCACTGCTGGGGTTTAGCATGACCTGGGGCAGAGAGAGAGAGAGAGAGAGAGAGAGAGAGAGAGGAAAAACACAAATATATGGCTGCAGCCACCACTCTTACAGATCTCCAAATCTTTTTGATTTGTAGAGTCATTAATTAGTCCTTTATTTTTCATTACATGATCCTGTAAGCTAGTCTATTAATAATAATCTAGCTGTACATTAGCTAGCAGTTATATCAAACATTAGCTTGTAACATCAAACATTATAGCAGTAACATCAGATGTTAGCAAGCAGACAACATCTAAATCAAGCTAGCAGCAACATCAAACTTTAGCTACCAGCAACATCAAATGTTTCCTGGTGGTACATCAAGTATTAACTAGCAGTAACATCAAATGCTAGCTTGCAGTAATAAGCTAATGCTTACTTAATTATTTGATAAATTATTAGATTTTTTTAGAATCATGACTACTCTTTGTGCTCTTTTTGACCTATTTTGTAATAAACACTACTCCAGTGCTTGAATACAGTGCTCTAAAATCACTCATATGTTAAGTGTTGGCTTTGCTAACTAGCTAACTGCATCACAGAAGTTTTAATGTGAGCTACACTTTTCTAGCGAACAAAAGGGTGATGGCACTCTTTAGGTTTAATTAAGATAGACAGTGATGAAGTACTAACTAACTTTCTAGGTGAATATTTTTATAATCTTTTGTCGTTAGCAGTAACATCATGTGTTAGCTAACAGAGACATTAAAACATATCTAGCAGTAACATTAGCAAAAGCTAACGTAACATTAAATCAGTACCTAGCTATGATTTATTTGACAGCTGTAACATCAAATGTTAGCTAGCAGTAATAAGCTAATGCTAACTTAATGTTAGATAACTACCTGGGTATTTTTGTTTAGTTATTTATTCATTCTATTTTGTAATAGATATAACTCCAGCAGATGTGGAGCTTAAAAACTGCACATGATTAGCATCAGCTATACTAGCTAGCTACCTGCTTCACAGAAAAGTTAATTAACTAACAAAGTCACAAAAATATTGACCATTCAAATTAAAGCTTTAGGTTTAATTATGGTAATTTATGCTGATAGACTTAATAAAGTATTAAAGTTTATATAAAAAGTTAGCACTTTGGTACTTTAAGAAAATTTGGAAATTTTATGTGAAGGTTTTTTCTAATTGCTATCTTTGCATTTGCATTTTTTGGTGCTTGAGAGAGGGTGAGAGTGGTACCTGCAGCCACAATGTACACAAGAAGCACAGTCATAATCAGTGGTACTCAACAGTACTCAGTACTACACAGTGGAGCTAAGTAGGATGCACATGTACTCAGCAGTACTCAACAGTACTCTGTAGTACTAAATAGTACTTAACAGTACTCTGTAGTACTCAATAATACTCAACAGAGCTTATCAGTACTCAGTAGTACTCAGATGTTGTCAGTAGTACGTAAATGTACTCAGCAGTACCCAAAAGTACTCCATAGTACTCAGTAGAGCTCAGTAGTACTCAAATATTCTCAGTAGTACTGAAATGTACTCAGTAGTACTCAAAAGTACTCAGTAGTATTCAGTAGAGCTCAGTAGTACTCAAATGTACTCAGTAGTACTTAAATGTACTCAGTAGTACTCAACAGTACTCAGTATAGTTTAAGCAAACACTAAAGTGGAGTTTTGTTTACTTGCGTTTCTTTTCTTTTTATCATTCCGGTTCCTCCTCGGTTCTTGGATGATGCTCGTACGCACTCACATAGGGCAGAATGTGTGTGAGTGTGTGTGTGTGTGTGTGTGTGTGTTGGGGGGGGGATGTAAACGCTTCCTGACAGTTTAGGCAGTGTTGTGCTCCCGCTGGGAAAACCTGGAGTTTATCCCTGGAGAGCGACTGTCACAGATCCTGCTGGGTGATATCAGTCTGTGTGTGTGTGTGTGTGTGTGTGTCTGTGTCTGTGTGTGTGTTGTGTGTTGTGTGTGTGTGTGTGTGTGTGTGTGTGTGTGTGTGTGTGTGTGTGTGTGTGTGAAAACACAGAAGAACACACACCACAATAAAACATCCACATATTGTCTTTAAAGTGAAGCAGTTGAGTTTCTCCATCTGCTTCCACCGATGTTTCTGCTGTTTTGTGTTCTGATGAGCTGCTGGTGCAGAACACATGTACACACACGCAAACACACACACACACACACACCGCTCTGAGTGACACTCTAAGTGTCTGCGTGTGTGTGTGTGCACGCGCGCACTGGCCGTGCTTTAACAAAGAAATCACTCATTAAGGAGAAAAAAGCTCTTTAATTACCCTGCAGGATGAACAGCATCTAATTTATTCCACTTTATTTCTGTCAAATGCACCCTTCACTTCTTCATTTCGTATTCAAATATATTCACGCATATATAACTACTCTAAATAGGGAGGCAAAACAGCTAAACTGTGAAGAGGATGGCTTAATACACCTCTGACCTGGTGTGTGAACAGGGTTTAACTCAGGATGCATGATGATATCGGAATCAGCAGATACAGTACAGGGCAAAATAAAATGATTAATCTCACCAGTAAACATTTATTTATCCAATAAACACATTAGAATAAATGCAAACATTGTGACTGCTCTGTGAGTGTCTTACTTACAGAACACCGTTTTTTCACCATTCCTGCATAATTCAGTGTATAATTCACACTCAGATTTCTTTACAGTGATGGTGATGGGAACCAGGGGTCGCCATGACTACAACACAAATATAGCCATTTTATTTACTATCCAAAACCACCAGTGAACCTACACGGGTCTACTGAGTTTTATATGGAATGTTGACGATGGTAAAATAGTGGAAAATCTGAAATGATGAGTTTTCTTTGGGGACTATTTTGCCTCACAATACCCTATATTTTATGTATCCCTCCATCATGAATGGTTTTTAAGGCCAAAATCTTCTCAAAGCTATCGTAAATCAATTTCTCTGACATCAGGCAGTTCTCATGTATTCATAAACACTTCTTGTAATAACTTTCTGTGAGGGAGCTTTAAGAGGTGGACATCTGGTTCCTATCACCACCACTGTATATAATAATAACAGATCTTGGTGATTCCCATATCACTGCATTCCTAATTTAAATGTAATTGTGCAACACATCAACTTTGCCATCTTGCATTCTACTAGAGCTGAACGATATCAACAAATCATTAGTATTGCGATCATATGTTTTACCTGTGATATATTACCTTAATATTATATTAATTTTAATGTTCAACACCGTCCTGCATTATTTAAACCAAATCAGTTGCTTTTTGTTGGCTTATGAGTCCACTGATTCATCAGAGCACCATCAGAAAGTCATCTGGAGCTGTGATGTATCATGTTGTGTCATGATTTTATTTACTGTTTTTTATAATTAGCGGACCAGAATTCATTCCTAATGAGGTTGTACGGTCATAAAATGTGCCATTTCTAAGAAATAAAAGTGTAATTTTATAGCTCAAAAAGCTGGAAAACAGGACTACAATTATATAAATGTAATAAATTATTTTTTTCCCCTATTTTTTACCCGAAGCAAACCTTTTCAGTCGAGCACCTTCTCTTTTCTCCTTTTTCTTTTCTTTTTTTTTGTGCTCGTTCTTTCCCGGCTCTAATCTAATGCGTTTGTGCTGAATAATGTATTTGACTACAGGGTAGGGCACAGAAATGAATAAAATCTAATGTGACTTAAGAGCCAATTTTACTGTCACACAGAATCATTTTGGTGGAAAGCCACCTGGTGTGTATGTAGGACGTGGAAGAGCAGGAGATAAACATTTTATACCACCATAATGTCACGGCGACGCTAACCCATGCTTGATGGAAGGGGAAAAAAAAGTAAATAGCTTCGTTCTTCCTCTGGAAACAGAGTCGTTTACTTACAAGAAAAAAAAGACAGCAGTTTTATATCCAGGCCGTATTTTATATAATGTGTTCAGCTGCCACATTAAAGGGGTACTTCAGTGGGTTTCGAGCTGATCTCTGTCTGTGGTATCTGTGACGTACAATCGATTATCACGGACAAAAACACGTTTCGATGAACATAGGAAACAGCAGAAAACTTGTTGACTTAGAATAGTAGTCAGTGGGCACCTGACTGCTTTTAGCTCCTAAACTTATTGTACGCCACAGTAAGGAAGCCCTGAAGGGTAAGATAAATAAATAAATATATACTTTCAAATATATATACATATATATATATATATATATATATATATATATATATATATATATATATATATATATATATACATTTGAAAGTGTTTTTCTGAGTCCAAATAATAAAAACACAGTCTACGTTATATATTTTATCTGCCTGTATGATATACCTATATATATATATATATATATATATATATATATATATATATATATATACATATATGTATATAATACTGACTAACACTTAGCATGTTACACCAGGGAGCAGCTTTTTTTGTGAAAACGATCACCGGGAAGTTAAGAAGCTAACATTCATATATACCAGCTTTGACCAGTAGGGGAGGCTGTTTTCCCACCCTTTACCCTTTAGGGACCAGGTGAATAACAATTAGCATTAGTATGCTAATCGTTAGCCACTGAGCACGCAGTATTTCTTTTTTCACCTGGTCATGAAAGAGTAAGTAAAAAAATAAAATAAAACAAAAACAGCCCCCTGCTGGGCAAAGCTGGTATAACATGGTAAGTGTTCACCAATATTCTTTTTGCGTACTTTAGCCATCTAGCGCACCTCAGTAGCGTGAAGGAGAACTTAGACTCAGGAACTTTCACTCTATTTTTTATCTTACTCTTAAAGGCTCCTGCAGATACATCAGATGAAGAAAAACACCATGAAGTTCCCCCTTAAACTCCAAAAAATCCACACTGTCTGCAAGGCCTGTGCAGAAGGAGCGCGTTTGTAGCCTAAATGTGGGTTATATTTATATCAGAACCATGCTTGTGATGCCTTGTTTTCTTTGTACAGTTTTATGTACATGCTAATGTGGCTTTTTTTCTACAAAAACTGAAAAGAAAAATGCAAACGACGAATCTATAAACTGTAAAATATTTTTAAGCGTAGGGAACGTTTAGGGGGTTTGCGTAGTTTGGGATGTTTGAGGCATACGGTGTTGGTACCTGTGTCTGAAAAAAAAAAAGAAATGTGATTTATTCCCTGGCTTCTAGTCTCTTCAGAGGTTTGACTGTCTCTCTTTTCGGTCCTCTTTCTCCTGAGGTTTGTGTTCTTTGCAGTGGCTTTGAAGAGTTTTAGCCGCATTTGTTCCATTATGTTCTTTATCAGTATCCGCATGTTAAAAATGATGAAGAAAAAGAAAACAACAAAAAAGAAATGTGGTCTTTTATTTTTGCTGAGCAAATCAAAGAAATACTATCTTGTAAGTACTCCTTCCTTATAGCTTTACAATAAAATACGTTCAGGAAAACGAAGAAGAGTCGTTCTTTCATCTCAGCTGCTTTTTTTGTCTTTGTTTTGGGGAAAAACTCACTGGGTGGGGGGAGGAGTCGGATCAACTGGAAAGTTGAGGAAATAATGAAATTATTTGACACTTTTTATTACATAAATATCATCGCTGTCCATATATATATATATTCTACATTATTTGAACTCAGCAGCTGTCCTATACACTGTTTGAGGGTCTTTCTCCATTTGGAGTGAGAAACCGTGTCACAAAGGTTGCAGGGCTTAAAAAGATGTTTAAAACATTAGACACAGCTCCAATAGTCAGTATGCACATTTGCACAGTTGACCTAAGATTAAATAACACTTTTCCCCTCATGATTTCTCTGATTTTTCCTTTTTTATCCTGTTTCATAGTCGCTCTGCGTATGTAAAATAGCTCGTCAACCAATTTTCAACCGAGAAACCATTTTTAATATAAAACAATATTTTTTAGAACTTTAAGTTAGGAATTTGTATAAAACAGCTTCATATTCACTTTTTATATCATGAATGTTATACTACATTTAAAAAATATGTGTTTTGTGTAAAATGTCAGAGATTTTGGTCACTGGTGTTATCAGGACTTTTATGTTACATTTTAACAGTATTTTTAGCTCTATTAAACTGCTTCTTTGGGTCGAGCCTCTTCAGAGAGGAAGCATCTCAAGACGTGAGGAGGCGAGTATAATTTTCATTATATTTCATTAATTTAATCTTTTTTTATTAATAAATTTTGTTTATCAGGCAGCACATGACATATATGTCACTGGTGTTATGTGCATTAATGGCTGGGTAATTAAAGTTTTGTCAAAATAATGTCACATATCATTTTTATTACTGATTTTAAATACACAAGGTCACATGACCACCAATCAGTCACCAATTTACAAAATCTTTAACCAGGATGTCACTGGAGTCACAGTCACTGGTGTTACACCATGTTCATATAAAACCAGTGACTGTAAAATATGTTTGGAATTAAGCTCTCCTTTTTGTATATGATATATTTTGTATATGGTAACAGGTGATGTTAATGGACATATTAAGATTATTTAGTTTTGGAAAGCAAGAAATTGATTTTTTAAAAATGTATCTACCTGAATTCCCACTCTAAATGGAGAATGACCCTTGAAAGTTTTACAGACCAATAAAATCCAAAAATCTCTTGGAATAAAATCTCAATCCATTAATTTACATTAAAAATTAAGAAAGTTTTTGCCATCTCATGTAAACTATTTCAGAGATATGTTGGAGTTTTTTGTTTTGTTTTTTGTTGTTAACATTTATACATTGTTGCTGACAGAACAAAGCATGTGCCTCTTTTTATAATTTATAATTTTTTTTACATAACACAGTTTACAAATTCATACTGAACGAAAAAATAGAAATGCTCCAAAATGACTTAGAATAAGGTCATGTATGTTAACTTATACTGAAAATGAAGAAAGTTTTTTGCTTCTTCTTCTTAAGGTTTCATTCTGACAGCAATCACGTAATTTCATATTATAAACTGGAGTTTACAATCTTCAAAGATTATCTTAAT